ACATATGAACCACACACACACACACACACACACACACACACACACACACACACACACTCTTGCCAAGCACTCTCTGTTTCCTGGACTTTGTCACCCTAATTTCCCTTCGTCGTCTCACATCACGTTTTCAAACAGCTGCATGGATCTCATCATAGTTTCATCCTGCAGAAAGAGATGGCAAACGGTGACAACAGAATGATGCATTTAGCAATCAGATGTGCAACGTCTCCGTGTGATTCAACGGGCAGGAAGGCAGGCATGCTGTGGCTGACTAAAGAAAACCGTTTTGTTCAATAGGTACTTTATAGAGGGCAACCATTAACTTTGACCTCGAACATCACAAGATTTTTTCCCCCATAGAAGGCCTTTTAGCAGTTAAAATGACTCCATTCAAACTGAACAATCCCAACCGTATATCAGTAGTTTTATTTTATGAGTGGAATCATCCAATACTACATTGCAGTGAAAGTTATCTCTGCCTTTGATTAGTTTCCTGACCTCTTTGTGCAGGTATGACTCCAAAAATATTTAGTTTCATCCATCACTTCTCTCTTCTCTCCCCTCTCCTTAGATTCAGGTTGTATGTACATTAACTAATACATTTCTTGTACGATGTAGAAATGAAAATATGAACATAAGTGAAAGTAATAACAGAAACACTTAGTGGTCCATAGACATTGTTCTAAAATTCCCCCTATTCATTCACAATCTGTCTAACTGTGGATTGGTGGAGGACAAAGTCGCCAAAGATGTCTAAATAGGATCTACAGCTCATTTAAATTGGTCCTTAGAAATCTCTTTTTTTCAGAATTCACTGGGAGTAAAAACACTAAAGCTCACTACAGCTCAAAGTTACTGAGCACAGCTGAAAACATGATACTGAGACAGAAATATCAGGCATTGAATTCTAAAGCACCACAATGTGTGCAAAGGTTTTTTGAAAACTTATAAAAGAATGAAGATAACCAGAAAAATGGGATCTGTTTAATCTTGTCAGACAGGAAAAGCCATACCTCTTGACAGGCTATAACGAATTCCTCCAGAGTCACCACTCCATCTTTATTCTTATCCATTTTCTGTGGAAATATTAAGAGCAAATATGTTGTTAATAACTTTTCTAACTCAAACTTTAAAAAAGTGCACACACCAACATGTCAAGCAGAACATATTTGGACAATAAAAACTCTGTGGACTGTAAGGACTGTGAAATTATTATAGAGAAAAGAAAATAATCTGAAAGGATTTCTGTATAAGGTCTTATTTACCTGGAAAAAGGCATCCACATGTTGCTGTGGGACGTCTCCTTTTAATGCAGGGTACGTGTACTTCCCCATCATGTCATAAATGGCCCTCACAATCTCCGTCATTTCCTGCAGGAACATGGGATTTTTTTTGGTTTTAGTGCTGATTTGAGATCCCGTAAAACGCTTTTCAAACTTTGCCTCACACAGCCTCACCTCTCTGTTTATGTATCCATCTCTGTTGATGTCATAAAGATGAAATGTCCACTCCAGCTTTTCCCGAAGCGTTCCCCGCAGCAGAATGGACAGCCCCATCACAAAGTCCTGTCAACGGGAACAGCTTAAACTCACCAAACATGCGCTGCAGAGTTAGAGAATTAGTGAATGTTTTACACAATGATACTTTACCTTAAACTTAATGGAGCCATTGTTTGTTGTGTCAAACGCGTTGAAAAGATAGTGTGCATACATGCTTGCATCTGCAACAACAGAGTTAAGATGTAAGATCAGCTTTTTGCGAAACGCTTCACAGAGCAGTGAAACGGGTTAGAAAAATAGTCCCTTTTACCTCCGTGTGGGAAGAACTGTGCATAAATATGTTTAAATGTCTCTTCATTTACGACTCCGCTGGGGCATTCCTGAGGGAAAACATGATTAATGGATGTTACTCTACTTCCTGACTGTATTGTCCTGTGTTGTAAATAAGGAAAGTGGCAAAAGAATCAAAGTGTTCGGTTACGTTTTTAAAACCACGATAGAGAATCTGCAGCTCCTGTTTGGTGAAGTTGGTCTGGGCTTCCAGTTGGTCCAGGCCCTCCGGCCTGTAGCACACCATTGTCATCTCAAGCTCGTCATCTGATTTATCTACAGAGAGGAAAAAGTAACAGGAAGAAATATGCCTCATAAAGATTTCAGCAGGGCTTGTTAAACACAGGCTCTTGACAGTCTTAAGGAAGATGGACTATAAGAAAGCAGAAAAAGACAACTCAGCGAAGCTTGAGATTGTGAAGTCGGCAGGAAACGTAAAAAAAATCTGATTAGAGAGCGGAAAAGCGAATTCACAGGGGTGAGATGAAGCAGAAGAGTACTATGGCAAGGATGAGGAGAAAAAGAAAAAGAAACATGTGATCGGAGTCACGTGCTTTTGACAAATTAGGCTGCCCCTTAGGTGTTAGTGCCTTTTATTAATGACAACGCGGGGCCCAGTATCAGGTGCTGTGGAGATGGATTGCGGTTAATGGTGTGAGGAGATGCTTCTGCTCTGGGCAAGTGTTTGTCACTGTCAAAGACTCCGGATGCAGGTCAGTGCTAACACCTACACATCTGTCCATGGAAGCAGTCTACACACCAATAAGGTCACAAACAATGTGTCAATGTATAGAAAAAAAAAACTCTACTAGCAGCTGCAGGCCCTCAGGGAAGACAGTGAGGAAATTCAATCTGAAGCGTTGTTAAGTGTGGCAGGGAAGGTTTTTTTTTTTTTTTTTTTTAAACAACTGGAGACAAAGTAACATATTTCTTAGAGGGCCATACTAACATAAAATACACATACAGCAAACAGGAATAATTTCTGTGCAACATATTCATCCTTTTTGGATGGAGGAATCAATTAACATCATGCCCATTTGCCATTGGATTAATTTCCAACACTACCACATTGACTTAATATTGACATAATTTTACGTCTTTTATGTCAAATGTCCCAAAACTTGAATACCAAAAACAGTGGCTTTGGATGTTCTTTAGTTTTTCAATATTTTTTAAACTAAGACTTGAGATTTCTATGGTAACAGAGTTGTATTAGTTCTCATCTGTATTCCAGTTTCATTCAATCTTCCCCCCGTTTTCCCCTTATGCTCTTCTGGTCATCCCACGGCCTCTTGTTGTCATGGAGATAGACGTCCATGATAAATGTGTGCAGTCGTGTATATAATGGATATAAAAAAAAAAAGACATGCACATTGGTTTGATTCCAGTTACGCCCTCATGTTGCACGACAACAGAAAAGCAAAGGTGTTATTCAACCCTTCTGCTTTCTATCTGGGGGCTTTGGGTTTCTGTAAATGCAACAGATGAAACGAAGAGAGGGTGCAAAAAGATAAGAGGCTGAAGTGTTGATTAGAGGGGGCTGAGGAAAGGAGGAGGGCTGAGAGGGAGAATAGCGCAGAAAAGCAAGACAAACATAGAGTGACCTTGTCTAGAAGGCTGATGAGCAAAGGGAGATTAAAAAAAAAAAAGCATCAACCATAATTAATGATGAATTTCAGCTTCAGAAAATCATATTTATATCAAACGGGCAGGAAAATGTTTTCGTATGTTTACCAATATGATGATTACTGCTCAGAATGTAAACCTTCACCGACACCTCACTGAGAGGGAAGTGTTAGATGGCGTGATGGAGATAATTAGAGTGGGAATCAGCTTGGGGTACTGTCTCTTCCCGAGTGTAAACATCGTCTTGATGTCCGTGTGAAGCAAAGACTTGGAGACAAGTGATGGTCATGGGGGCAGGATGTAACAGGACGCAACATCACTGTTTGGTTTGGTGGTTAAAAAAGGCTGTAAAAAACACAACAACCCTGGATGTCTTCATTTTGGCCCAATAAGTCCCTTTTAATCCTTGTGAAGATTGATTACTCCTTATAACACTTTCATCGTGACTGATGATTATATCTGTTAGCGGTTTGCGGGAAGAGGTTTTTCAAAGGGAAATTTGTTTTATGTGCTCAATTAATGGCAATCTATTCTTCTGCAGGGGGAATAAGACAAAAACAAAAGTAATTTCCTTTGAAGTGAACAGTTTAAAGGGAAAGTCATACTGATTAGGGTATTAGGGCCAATATGGCCTGGATTTAGTGGTTCTGCGTGCACTCTTCCATTGATCACATGCACTGACTGCTTCGCCAGTCAAAACTCTGGGAAATGTTGTCGCAGTTTAATTAGGGATACTGGGATAAAAAGCATATCTTTTTCTGCCAGAGGAAGTCAAACAATGAACACACTGATCCCTCTGAAAAAAATTAATTATATCCTTTTTATTAAAATTCCGAGATCCTCTGATATCTTGCCAACTTTGTGTCTTTATAGATACTTTGTTAAGCCGAAATCTTATTAGATATAGTTGAAATACAATGAACTTCATTGAATAAATGTTGGAAATGGATGATCACTGGGGATTCAGCGGTGCTGGTTTGATGAACGGGATAGCTGCAGCCTATTAGCTGAAGAGCGGAGAGACAGCTGGACAAGCTGGCACACACTCATCCAGCGCATGTGTGTGTCGGGCCAGATTAGAAAAGTACGGCTTTGAGGGTCAAATGAGTCAGCTCACCCCGCTCAACCTTTTTAACTTCCATCTCTTTCACAGCTGCCTAAGTAGTATTACGACCATCCATTCAGGTTCAAGAGCAATGCACACTTTAATCTTGATGTTAGAGTCCACTGGGGAGGTTCATTTGGGCTATAAGGTGCCTCCAAAATACATTTGGAGCATACGATCTCAATGTGCTGGTACTTTATGTACACCATTTCTCAGTTCTTTAAAGTGTTTATGGTTATTGACTGTACTTCACTTAAATGCTTAATGTGTCAATTGCTTTATAAGCGAGTTCTCTCAGTTTTTTTCTTAGAATTCACGATGAATCTACACAGTAGTTCTGACTCAACCAAAGAAATGAATCATATTCCTCCTATTTTGCCTTGCACCTATTTCTGTAGTTATATCAACCTCTTCAACGTATGAAGTAACAATCATCTGTGAATCCGCCCCCCAATAACTGGTGCTGTGATTCCTGGCAATCCATAGACCACAGATGTATCTACCATGCTGATATGTAAATGTAGAATGTCTGCAATGTTGCCCACTGAGAGAAACTGCAGTCTGTTTATATTTTTCCTGTTTCTTATTCTGTTCTAATTCTTATCCGTCCTCAAAGGGATGTAGTCCTATCTGTATAGGCTTATCTTTCGCAATTCTGCACAGCTGGCATGATGACATACTTTTTAGTGAACATTTTGAATGAAGATAGACCAAAAACAAAACAAAACAAGTTTTGAGTTTGTGTCTTCTGAGTGAAGTTATAGAGGGATTTACTCTTGTCCCAAGAAATGTTACATTTACACGACATGATAATTACTTTCTCTCGTTGTTTTTAATCTGCCTTTCATGATTCACCGTTGACCCTGATGGAGTATCTGCACCCACTCTTTCTTTATGCCACTACAACCCAGTCTCCATGACAACTAGCTTCTCAAGCATAAGGCCAGGCAGAGGTATGATATGTGAGCTGCGTCTTAATTCATCTGCTCGGAGTCGAACCCTCCCTCGCTGCGTGTTTCTTTTTTGCCTCGCTCACACATGTCGCACACATAATAGTAGAGTTGGAGGCTGTGTTTTTCAAGGACATCCTGGAATCGTATAGTTTCTTTCCCCCCCTCATTTCCACATTATGTGTCATAGATCATAACTCTGAGTCTTTGTTGGGACTTGAATTTCTTAAGCTCCTACAGTTCTGCTGACACTTCCTTGATTAAATATGCATGAATTCAAAATTTAAATAATTGTATCGATCCTTTTTTAACCAAATGGAAATAAAAATCAGTGCAACTGGTCATATTTTAGATGTGCCGCTTGAATGGAGACTAAATGTCCCGACATTTAGTACATATTATATTCTAAATCCTTGTTGTTGCTGACAAATGTCTTTAAAAGGACTCACAATAAATCAATATGTGGACATCTGAGAAAACAGAACTTCATATCACCCAACAGATTATGAAGTACAATGCATCGAAGTGGACATCTTTGTCCGCTTTCAGTTGTTTCTATACATTCCATGTATTTCTATCAACAGATATTTTTTTTTGCTGCTCTTTTATCCTCTGTCCCTGTTTGTCTCACAAATGTTGACGTACCTCTCGATGGTCTCCTCTGTTTTGTTTGCATGGTCAAAGTGCCCACCACTGCACCCATGTTGTCACCGTGGAAACCAGCCTGGTCAAACAACCCGCAGAGCAACGGTCCACCGCTTAAATCGCGGGTTTTGTCAGCCTGTTGTCCTCTCTTGTTCTTCCTCCACGGCTCCGTTTCATAACAGGGCTTTTGTTCCTCTTTGTCTTCTCACTGGGTTCCAGATCGGTCACTGGGGGATTGCTTCCATCTTTGATCGGACTCTGTTGAATTTCCGATCCCCCCCCCCTTTCTCTCCAAAGACGCGTGTATACATGCACACTCACATACACGCTGAAGCTGCTCCTGCCTTTCTGCGCCACTCCCTCTTTTCTGTGCTCCACTCTAACTCAACTGCCAGCCTTTCCCCCCTCTTGTAAGCTCCCTGCCTCTTCATGCCCTTGTGCTACTGTGGAGAGATGCTGAAAAAAACGCAACATCAGTGAGGTGACAGGTGATGATTGTTTTCTGAAAGATGATCCCATTGCCTTTGTCTTGCTCTCTACCACCTATTTGGATTTTCTCATCTTAGTCATTTACTCAACCGAGAGGTTAACGACCATGCAGATTCGATACCAGCTGAAATTGGTGCTCTGGTCCCTGAAGGGAAGCGTTAACCATAATGAGCATGCAGATAGTTCAGCTGTGAAAGGCTACATTTTATGTGTGCTCATTGCTCACGAAGGGATTATGGGTAGATCTCTGTCTTTCTGCAGGAGGACATTAAACTCCATGAAAGCTTTAATACTGATCAAAAAGAAGAATTTAAAGTAGATCCTGTGCAGTAAAGAGAGAAGCCTGAAGTGGGAGTGAGTAATTCTTGTTTTCATGTGGCCGTTGAACCTGAAAAATCAAGGTGACTGGGCACTGGAGTGCTCGTAAGCGGAGGCTGAAATTTGGTAGTTTCGCTCATTTCCCTCGATCTATATTTACCTTCTTTGCTCTATTCGGGGAGGGTTGGAGCTTCTCCCAGCAGCCATCAAACTGTAATCCCCGGAGAAAGACGTTTATAGGCATGGAATTAAGGTCTGCTTGTTCTTCCTTAAGTGTTCCAATCGGTGTGGACTGGAAATTCAAAGTTAATTCGCTCTTTGTGAAGGGCCCTGACCTTTATATTGGAGAAAAATGAACGCACACAGTTTTGTCGATTTTGTTTCTGTTTAAAAAAAAAAAGTGAATCTATGTTACAACTACAAAATTAAAGGAGTGGCACCTAAATGCAAAAATGAGAAAAAAATCAGAATGACAAAAAAACTCCTGCATATTTCATGAAAAACATTTTCCTAAAGACTGCTGTTCTATATTTAATTTAACGTGCTCTCTTTTTTTCCCCTTTTCTTCCATTGAATTTTTGTTTCACTCAGAAAGAGACAAGAAAGACAATTACACCGTTTCAGATTAACATTCATGGCTTCATGTTGGGACGTTCCTGAATCTTCAAATCAAATATTTACAAAGTTTCCTGAAAAATCCAGTGAGCATGACTGAACATTGGTAGTGAATCTTGATTGTGTGAACACGACATCCACTTATAAACGTAATTAGGCCCAGAAATCAACACCCACATGTAAGACAAAAACGGGCACATGGGGAATCATGTACAAAGATTTCTGTTAGTAATACAAATTTAGTGTTTTTAACATCAGTTTTCCTCCTTAAAGGAGATTGCATTTTCATAGCTGACGAAGAGTTGATTTTGTCTTGTGCAAGAGCTCACACTGTTCAGTTTTTTAATCTCTACCTTTCTCCTATACCCTTACAGTCCTTCTAATAATCTCCTCATCGGCAGCCACTGTACTTTGGTGTAGCGGTGGAGAATTTGCTTAATTTTTTGCTCAGTGGTTCCCCCTGCAGTTGTTAGGTGTAACACTACCGTCACAAACACAAACGTCCTGTTTGACCCTGCAGATGGACATGAATGGATGTGTGGACATTTTCGACATGTTAAATGCAATAAAATGCTATAATTATCCCATAAAAATGTCAAGCGACATTAAACCAAAATGATGAGCTCTGAAGATAAAAACCAGAGTCATAAACTGTGATAACCCAGCCCTCTGGAAGAAGTCCATGATAGATTTGAGTTAGTTTTTTACATAAAAAAAAGAGTGTGGAAATTATAGAACATGCAGTACTTTGCTTTTTCATCTTTTTCAAATGTATTCCTAAAAAGCGAATATACATGAATAAACAAAATGTACAAAAATTCCAAATTTAGAAGAAGGAGAAAGCAAAATGCTGTAAAGAATAAAAATATGCCTTTGATATGATAAAACCAAGCCAAGATTGAAAAAAAAGAGCATTTTAAGAGTAGTTTAAAACGAAGCTCAGTGATATACTCAGCTTCAACATTGGCAAGTCCATGCCCATGTGGTCTGTGCTGGAAAAGGGACAGTTTCCCCCTCTGGTACCTCACTTAAACCAATCAGCATGCCAGCAAAGATCAACTTTCAAGCTGACTGGTGTCTACAACATTTACCTCCGGTCTCAGCTTTATTTTTGCCATTGAACTCCATTCTAAATTAGAGATAAGGACATTTCTCCATTTTTAGGTGAGTAAATGAGGATAACACTCAATACTAGAACCGGATAGAAGGGTCATGTAAAGTAATTCAGTAATGTCACCTACAGACCAACAGGTGGCAGCAAATTGCAACATTTTCTCAGAGAAAAGCAACTTGGGTGCATGCTGCAAATCCATTTGGCTTTTGGGTAAATCTACAATGATAGTTAGTACGTCTTCAGAACTTATGAGTTGTAGTCATTGCTACTCATAGCAGAAATAGGATAATTGCCCTAAATACATGTGCATCCAACCGAAAATATGAATGACAGTTGGCAAACAATGGTCACTGACCAAGAGTAAGGTAGAGATTGGAGCACGCACATCGCGAAAGGAGGCAAGGGTTAAAGATAAAAATAAATTTAGGAGAGGGCAGTTACATAAAAGTATGTAGTGATGTGTAAAAAATTAAAACCACAGACATGCACTGTCAGCTCCAATCCACTGCTTTAGCAGCCACAGGAAAGGAGAGAGAGAGACGAGAGTGGGGAGTTGAGAGGGAGGAGAGCAGACAAAGGCAGAGTAACTGCTGTGAGTTTGGACCGGCCTAGATGCAGCAACAGTGACGCTGCATGTGATTCTGAGAGAGTTCATTCAGTGAAGGACTTTAGTTCACAACCAGTCATGAGGCTCTATGAAATGTTCAGAAAAAGGCTACGGCATACAGTAGATCTGACTAAGCAGCCACACTCAGCCTCTAGTGGGAGTGTTTTGTGCTTCACCCCATAGGAAAGAAAGAAGTGATTTAATAATGATCATGGGCTGCCAGTTCAGCATCAGTGCCAGAAGTGATAAATATCCCAGACTCTCCAAAGCCATAAGTCAACAGGTGTCAGTGTGTTCTATGACTACTGTAAAAAAAGAAAAAGGCTCAACTAAAAAGTATCCAAGTAGATGAGAGTAGTTCAGCAGAATATATAAATCCATTCCTGAAGATGCCACTTTATATTCTGGCTTCATTCTGGAGGACAGGAAAACTCCAAAACACATAATTTAAACATTAGCTCGCAGCTTCTATGGGTGGCAGTTATACCAATGAATGAACACTCAGTCCAGCTAACTGAAATGGCAATCTATTTACATATGAATGCAAACACTCAGACACATCCTGATATAAATATAACATAATATAATACATCCAGCCATCACTGCAGCCATGGTAACCTCTAGTACTGGGACTGCTTATATATTTGACCAATGTTTTCTTGGTGCAAGTGCAATCTATACTGTGCAATATTTTTAAAGTGCAGCGAGGTCCACTGGTAATTTTGTTGAGCTGTCTTCTCAGTAACTGCTTATTTATTCACTGATATACACAAAATGTATCTGTGAATTTACTGCTGCAGTCTGACTGCAACATTTCACTTTCATATTTTTATTTATGTCAGTGATGGCGGTGCAGTGGATTTCATCACTTGCTGTATTGAATACCAGTGAGATAAATCAACCCTGCCGAAAAAAACAATCCTTTCATAACCCAGGATACATAAATGCCATGGATTATGTTAGTCTTTTATTGATTATTATCGATTATCTAATATTCATAAGAAAACAGTATTGTCTCTGACCAGGCATATTGTGCTGAACACGCTTAGAAAAGTAAGCACCTAATTGTATCTTGTCAAAGACTCGTCACTTGGGTGGTACCTTTAAAGGTCCTGTCTTGGACCTCTTAATGTTTTAGCTTGAAGATTGTTTTGTACAGGTGCAGGATACTATATGATGGGAGACAGACTTTACTCTTCATGCCATACTCAGAGAGGGGTATAAAATGTAATTTAGTTTTACTTTGGAGCGACTTGATACGTTGCATGAGCATGCTGGTGGCTCTCACTTCATGAAGTTTTCTCCCTTTAATACATTTTTTATTTCTTACTCACTTGGACGGATTAAGGGTCTTGAGTTATAATAGAATTTCCACAACACACACATCCTGTGTTCCTCAACCAGTGAACCTGTAGAAATGTAAAAAAAAAATTGTATTTGTGCACATAAATTGTGCCAGCCAACATATTTTCATCTCTCCACTTTATATTCAGAACCACTGTTCTAATTTCCCCAGATTATGATTTATGGTGTCCCATTTTCCTCACAACCCAACAACTCCATCACAGTCCTATGCTAACCTAAAGCAGCCCCCAAACACACATCATCAGCACACAACCAGATAAATAAAGGGCGAAAACATGCAGAAAAACACTGTGCTACACCTCTGTTTCAAAGAGAACACCATTCTTAACCTGGTTGTACTTTTTTTTTATCTCGGCAGAGACCCTAAGATAAGTCATTCCTTAACAAAACCATTCTTACAAGTAAAAGAAGAGTAAAACTACAACATCCCACCATGGAGATATGAATAATAGCACGTGTCATGTCAGTTCCAGACCTGAGGCATATCATTAGACTTATTTATTTGCTTATGTATACACTTATTGTTGCCCTAAGTGAGCTATTTAAAGGTCTAAAAATGAATTTGACTGTAGCTGAATTAGTAATAAGCATGATTTTTTAAAGGTGAGCAGTTCAGTATAAAGTTCATGTATAAAATGTGTAATTTGCAAAACATTACAATGTGCATAGGTTTGCACATTTTCTTGTCTTCTTTCATGCATATAATATAGAATGCTTATTCTCTGCTGTAGTCTGCAGTGCTGACATTATGCAACATCATAATGAACAAATTCTGTGAGCTTAATTTGGAAAAAAAATCAACCATGAACTCAGGCTCTTTTCTTTGTGCTATTATGTTTATATTTCTCCTCTGAATTTATTTGCATGAAACAAAAAGCTCCTCAGCTTTTGATTTCTGCCTTCAAGTTCGCCATGATCAAATATTAATACAGCACAACTGAATCACACATAGAGTCTATATTATCGCAACCAAAAATGATGGGCCTTTAACCAAAAGTAGTTGAAAGTTTCCACTGTGGGATAAAACAATGGCTTTCTTAATGCAATGCAATCTATATCTTAGCAATGTATCTACAGTTTTAATTAAGTCGTTGACATTTAATTATGAAACGGAATAAAAGCACAGCCTTTATGCAGCTCAGTGCAGAACCATCTTGTCCTTATGTCAGAATAGGTCAGAGGCAGGTGGGAATGGCAGCAAACATGAGCAAAGACACAATATCAAGTGCCTGGGATTCTGATAAAAAGTCATGGTCCATGTCATTAGATACTCATTCATAAGGGAAAAAGAGGTCAGGATTACTAATGCACATTGACAAAGTGCAAAAGTAAAAAAAATGCAGGAATCTCATCATGTTACATATTCAAGCAGTTATGATTAGCTTCCCAAATGCAAATGCTTAGTAATTTAGTCATTTATAGAGCTAACACAGAGCTGTATTGCATGACCTAGATTGTCAACCCATGCAACCATGAGTAGGCTGCATTATTTTCAAAATAGCACAGAAGCTAAGCCACCGGTATAAAACACAACAACACTCTCAACACATTTTTTCTTCAAATTCAGATTTTTCTTTTTTCTTTCCAGGGAAGACATCCGATATAACAGTGCAGTGCTGCCATTGTCCTTTATGGTGATTTTTTTTTTTAGAAAAGATTTCCTGTTCCTACCTACACATGATTTACAGTTAAATAGATTTAGTTTTTAAAAGTTTCGAGGTGGAGATAACAGTCTGAATATCTGTGAGCCATTCAGTGAAGCATTCTATACATCTGAATAAACATGACTTGTAAATAAACTAAATACTCATCAAAGCACAGAGTTACGTCTGTTTGTCAGGACTGACTCCCTGCTGCACTCAGATTTGGTGGCTCAGCATGTTTTTTTTGCTGCTGAGATGAAAAGCAACCTTCAACTATACAGATTGTGAGGGTGTTGTGAAAAGGAAAGAACCAGAGCTTCAAACGTGCATCACAAGAGTAGCCTGAAGGGAGTGAATGGATGACGCCAACATGACTCACAGTTCAGTTCTCGAAGGTGTGCAAATATCAAGCAAAAAGAATTAATGACGCCAAATCCATCGCCCTACCTAAACACAGTGAACCTTAGCTCCAGATTTATGCTAGCTTCACAGGTATTTATGCTTTCATATCAGTGTCAAATTTTGTACCAGGAAATGAGACGGTTGGTAGGAAGGTACAGTAGATAAACGAACACACACACATGTACTTTGGGAACAAGATGAATTGTTGTCAACATCTGCTCATGACCCCACCATTAGTTTCCACACTAGGTTCACAGAAGGATAAACAAACAACCAAACAAGTCAAGTCATCCTTGCTCCAGAGAATCAGTTTGATTATAGCTTTAAGTGTTGCTTTTATACAAAACACAGTGAGACTAAAAATTAGGGTGAAGTGTCTGTATTATGTGACAGAATCGGGCTCAAAATGACACACAACATAGCACAAACAGATTTTTTCATGAATGCATACTTTCATGGAACTTTTTCAGGAACTTTTTAAACGCCTTTTGGCTAAAAAAGTACACTTTTTTTTTTTTTTTTTTAAATGTCTTTTGTGTCAATCAGTCTTTTGGATTGGTCTCAATTCAGACTAAAATGTGTTTTGACCAGATACATGATAACCTGAAAGTGCAAATTCACTTTTGATTAGACAGAAAACCTGATTAAACTATGTTGATGCAAAGTATGACTAAATGATATCAGCTGTTTTACACGGTGAATACATCTTTCATATGAAGTCTGCTAAGTGTTTAATCTTTAAACAAAATTGCAAGAAAACATAGTGCTACAAATGTCCTCAGTGTAGATGGGCTTAAATATTACACTGCATTGAATTGAATCAAACGCATTGGTAAATAAACGCCACGGTACCTTTGGTGAGGGTTCCTGAGACCAACCTCTGCAGGGACTGGATCAGCTTGAGAACCCCCTGCCTGCAGCGGCTGGTACAGCCAGCCATGATGGGGCACGAAGAGGGGCAGATGGGGCAGGTTTCCTCTTTACGTGTCAAAGTAAGAAAAAAGGCTGTGATCTGCAGTGCCTCAGTTGCTTTTTCAGTGTGAGATCATCAGGTCCTTGGAGTGTCTTTGTGGAGAGTGACAGAAACAATAAGGTTCCTTCAGAACACTAAATTAAAACATTTAAACTGACTCACTCGCAATACTTTTTTGTGCATCTCATATAAAGACTCAAGTCCATATCTCAAACAAAGACACAACTGCACTCCTGGTCAAACAAACATTGGTGAAACACAAAGGCAGGTATAATATATATGATCCCCAAACTTCCATAGAGAGCCTAACAAGCAATTACTTACTGCAAAGTCAATACAAATGTTTAGCAAATAATGGAAATAATATTTTTTTTAAAGGATTTTTTTTTTAAGAAAAACCAAAACAACCAAAGTTGTAGGTCACAATCCAAAACGAGGAAGACACTTAAAGTAGAACATAAAGAGCCTTGTCCCCAAGGAAGTTCCAATAATCTAAATGCAATCTCGTTCAGTTATTCTCACCTTCCCTGCAGATTTGGACGATCCCTCTGTTCTCGTCTCCTTCCTCGTCTTTCTTCTTGGAGTATTTCTCCTTCCTGTGTAGCGCATATGTCTGTGTGAGGATATCCCCTCAAACTGCAGTGGCAGCCCTGCGGCTGTGGTCTGTGGAGGAGCTCAGCTCTGATGCTCAGTACTGCAGAAAAGCTCCAGCAGCCACCACTGTTCCCACCCCTCTTCCCTTTATGGTCCCTCCTCCTGTCTTACTTTCACGCTTCCTTTCTTTCTGTCGAGTTGATGCTCCTTATTCTGCACACAAACCCAGACACACACGCACCATTTAATAAATGTAGTGTTAGAGGTTGGTGGTTTACCTGTTTAGGATCAAAGTGCAAAGCTGAAAAGGTCATCCATAAAACAAAACAAACATATGCTCTTGATGAAATGTACACAATTTAAGACCTTCAATTCAATTAGACACAATCAACTCACTTAATCTAAATGAATCACCTGTCAAGACTCTCTTCCAATTCCATGAATCCTCATTTAAATGTTTTAAATGACGTTTTCTGTCAGACTGGTGAACAGAATCCATTTAGAAATGATAGGCTGTGATCTCAAAACTCTGCTTGGTACCAAAGCAAAAGACAAAACTGCAATGGCACGATTTGCATAGCCATCTACTCTGTGTAAGAGTCACACCAGATCAGGTTCTGTGAGCCCAACATTTGCTTTTTGTTTCTCACTCCAGTGAACTGGGGGAATGCTGGGGGATAGCATGACGCAGTGCAACCTCTGTCCATTTGCTTTCCCCGTCATCTTGTCTATATTTAATGTTAATAGATTCTTTTTATCCTCTCACAAATACTCGGTAGCATTTTAGAAAGTCTAAATTTAAAGGGTGACTGTGCCCTAAATGTCACAAGGCTGAAAAAGAGAAAACAACAGCAAGAAAAAGCCGTAGCTTTCGTGACTCAAGCGCGTTTGCTTGCTGAATCTTGTTTGTATCCCAAGAGAGGAGCACTTCACTTGGAGAATCAGGTGGAAAAATAAAGATAATCGCAGCACAAGTCACACGATCAGATCAAAATGACATCCTGATACTTTTCAACATCATCATGCATAGTCATCCTACAGTTTGTGTAGTAAACAAGTGAGAGCAAAACAAGAATCTAAAATGAAATGAAGTATAAAAACTCCCCTGTCATGTTTTTGTAACCGTTTCAATTACTGCCAGTATTTGTACTGTAGTGGCATAAATCTCTCTTTATGGCTTCTCTCTACAACTCGAAAAGCAGCTGCAATTAAAAATCTCGCCCACAGTCATTTACAGTGTGGGTGTATTATAAAGTGAGAAACAACAGTGTGGGGTTCTGCGAATGCTTTAAACCAGAAAAAGGCTTTTTTTCACACCACTATAACTGCAGCACTATAAGCCTGAGGGGACAGCATCTATGCGGAGGAAAGGTTGCAGAAAAAAAAGCAAGACGGTACACGGTGGTGGTTGCTTTTCAGTCCTGACCAACAAAATGACGGAGATCAAGTGGTCGAGTTGATTTTACACACGCAACCAGCGAAGAGGCACCGCGTGGTGGGACCTGACCACGACCAAACGTGGCTCACTATGTAGTGCTGAGTCAGCAGTAGTGTTAAAGCCGCTGGAGGTACGCTGCAAAATGCTTCGGCTGCAAAGAGGTGCAAATTGACTCGTCGTGACGGGTATTGAGAAGCCAGCAAGCAGAGCTCAGACTCATACTCACAGAGCACAGATGAGAGAAGAAAAAAAGTTCAAACAAGGCATGTGGTAACCAAAAAAAGGGGCAATCCCTAACCCTAACACACCATAAAAAACTGCAAATAAACATTCGGCCATTTTCTTAAAAACTTTATATCACATGTCTTAGCAAAAGACTAAATCAGAATTAAAACAACTTAATATATTGACATTTAGGCTACTTTTGTAGTCACATTGGTCACATTTTTATGGTGCGTTTTTGTGCAGTGAGACTGATTTACTATGGCCATATCTGAGAGAGCTAATAAGACATGAGAATTGGCAGGGGAGCACAATCTGCGTATGCCTTCAGTCAAAACTGTTTAAAAGCAGAGCTATGGATTGAGCCTGACTGCAGACTGGCTGCAGATGGACACTCTGCCCCATGTTAAGTGTTTCCACTCTTAAAATAAACTACAAAGAACAATGAGAGCAGCACACCAACAAGAAGGAGGAGAGGCAGACTGTGAAGTGCATCGCTCTTTCATTACCTACTTGACTTTTTTGCAAATCATTTGTGAGGAAATTGCTGGAGATTAGTCAAAATTGGCGTGAGAATAATAACCTACTTACTTTAGCGACATGAACTGAGGTGAGAAAGATGTGTGTGAAGCCCCTGTTTAATACCTCATCATTGTTATTGATACCAAAGAGTAACAAAGAGGATATGTTTCATTTAATTTCTTGTCTACTATTTGTTACCAGAATTATTTAAACGATTTAAAGATTTGGTTAGTCATGGTCGTTTGGGACTTGTCGGTAACAGAGCATCTTAAATAGAACACATCACAAACATTCATTTAAACCGAATCACCCAGAGTTAATGCATAATACACACACACATGGTGGGTGGGTCCTGCTGTGAAGCACCCGATGCCTCTGTCAATGTGAGCTCACCAGTGTGAATGAGTCAGTTCGGCTTGGATAAACTGTACCAAAGCATATGTGAATCCAAGCTGTCTCTAGGACAAGTTTGTTGATGATCTATCAGGTGTTGCTGATGATCCGTAACTCTATAAGTGACAAAGCCCAGTGTGGTTTTAAGGTCTTAAAAACAGCCTCCTGCTATATTATTAGGAAGTCTGTGGCTACTTTATTTAGCAGCGTAGGAAATGGATGGCACATCCTCAAAAAGTTCACATGGATTTCATTCACCTTTTTGTGCTACAGCAGTCTCCACAACAGCTTCAAAGCACCTTGTGACCCCCTTCGCCTTTTTATTTGCTTCTTGCAATCATACCTTTCTCTCATAGGCCATTAACAGCCACGACAAGGTCGACACGGCAAACCCAGATAATTCTCCGGTCTAATTTCTGCATCACTTCTGGGGTCATCTCTCTATGGTACTGTCAAGTAGCTTCTCATCACGTACATGACCCAAAGCTTTCATATCATCATAAATCATGTCACGGAGAATATTAGATTTTAAAAAACTAACACTGATCAAGGATCCACAGCAACATCAAGAAAAACACGACTTTCAGTATGTTCTCAAAAAGATGTTTCCTGCTGGCATTCAAATGTAATAACACATTGCTCGCTCCAAGTTTAAAATTAATCTCTCATCACGTTGAAATTGGCAGTTTTTAAAAAAAACATGCTGGCAGCAACATTTTACCACATTTATGGTCATCATTATAGGAAATGAAAAGGAGTGAGAAATAAAAAAAAAACAGTGTCCATGGTGATTTCCCTGCAATAAGTAAACTCAGAAAAAGTAATCCTTGAGCATTTATCTAAGGGGAACATTGTTGCCATAGTGAAGTCCTTTCCTCATGGGGGAATTTGTAGAGCTGAAACAACAGATTTATTTAATTGTTTGAGAGGGTTCCTTTGCCTTTCTTTTACCATTACCCTTTGTGGGCGAATCCTCTCATTTTCTACTCACCCTGGTTACCTGCTCAGTGCTCTCAGTCTGGAAAAAAAGGAACAAAAATGCTACAGGGTGAAGAAAGAAAAACAGCTGACCCCTGCTGCACCACTGTGTTGCCTCCCACACTCATATATTAAGCTCTCCAAACCCCCGCACTGAGCATGCTCAGATGAACCTGCTCCAGGAGCTCCAGACAGGAGTTTAGCAGTTATCTTCTCGCGGAATGAAGAGAAGGGACAGGATCAGTGGGAGGCCATGCAGCAGGATGGGGTAGAGCCAAAAGCTAAACCCACACTAAAATCCACGCAAATACAATATTCATAAAGTCACTTAAACAAAAGATGGGCTCACGTCCTACATACTTTCATAGTGTGTGAAGTATTTCTGCATTTTCACACTCCTGAAACAATGACTGAATAGCATTTAAACCATGCCAGCTAAGTATGTCAACAATCCAAAAATTAATAATTATAGTGAGTCAAGCACATTCACATTGTTCCACAATTAGGTCTCAAAAATGTATGTGTTTTCCTCTTGCCCTAATGGTCTCAGTCAGTGTGTGTGTGTGCTGTGTCTTAATGTTCTTAATAAAGAATAACTTTCTACAGCCTTTTGTGTCTTGACACAGGGATAGAAAAACGTTTTCACAACTTCTAATGATCTTTGTGAAACTTGAAGGAGAAAGTTAGTGTATACTGCACTCTGGTGGCAGTACACAGTTCGCTCAGAAAAGCCCTACATGGAGCCATCATAGCCTCTGTGTGCTGCATTTAAAACAACTTACTAGACAGACTGACAACTATATATTTTATAAAAAGTACTTGCCGTTCATGCTAAACCAATTAGATTGCGTATGGTTAAATCAGCGGTCCATTTAAAAAAGGACAGATTACCTCGGATCCCCTATTTATTTTATTCATGTCCACGTCACAATACCTTTTTAAACTTCCTGCAATGCATGGTATATTTCAAGCGGACCTAAGGGTTTTGGATAGTGCAAAGAAACCTGTGGAAGAAGGTTTAGGTGATGTGTTGCTGTGCTTTAAAGTCTGGCTCTTCCTTAAAACATATAATAAACAAAAATGGCTGAAGCACCTCTATTATTGCTGTACTGAATGCTACTTCTTTCTGTTTATATGGTTCATGTGTTTCAGATTCTATTGGGCTATGTGTTATCTTTGCACACAAGTGGGGCAGGGAACACACACTCCAAGGCAATGTTGCTGCTCTCTATTTTTTGTGAGATGGGACTTTATTTATCTTTGTGCAGTTGAGATTTGACTTGTCGGATCACAATGTACGAGTAAACAGAGATATCGTAAATGAAAACAGGAGACCGAACATCTATTACCCGCGCTATCTTTGTATCAAACTCTGTTTACACAGTAGGACAAACACAATATTGGATTAACACACCTCTGAGGTAGAAACACATTTCCAGTATGAATCACAACAAATGGTACTACTGTGGCTGTGTTAGTCTCTGGACCTCGATTAAACATTATTAAAAAGCATGTTATGGTCTCAGTCAGCTTTCCAATAATCTACTGACTGCCTTGTTGTCTGATAATCAAAAGCACTTTTTTAAAATTCTGCATCATTTTTATTGGTCAGTGTTTTCTGTGGTGCAGCCCGGGTTATGCAGTCAGCTATTTACAATAAAATATTTACAGAAGCAAAGAATCAAGGTGTGATGTATGAATGTTAATAACACTTGCCATTACAAATACATTTATCGCAAAACTGTTGCACATTTATACAACATCCACCTACATAAACCTATTTTTTCTGTTGTAAAATAAGTCGTTTAGGTAATTTGTTGTATCTGTTTATTTGTGTATTATACATTTAAATAAGGCGTTTAGATATTATGTTTGATGTGGGATGACTAATTCATACATATTCATTCACAGTGGGCTGAAGGTCGACATTCCAGGGCTTTTTAAATAATTGATCAATATTTTTATCATAAGGAATATCGAATAAATTCATTTTTGAACAGGAAGTTGTATACACACAAACACACACATGAATATTGCATGTTCAATGGATTTTTACCAAGGACAGGGATTAAGCAAGAATTGTCTTGTACACGTAGTGTGCTATATAAATAAACTTGCCTTGCCTTTTGTGCCTGGTCTGGATGAAGTCAAGCTTATGTAGTGATTTACCTTTTGCTGAGGCCTATTACTGCCCCTGCTGTGTGCACAGGCAGTAAAATGAAGACACGGTTGATATTTTAAGAAGAGGATATTTTGGAAATATTTGATTTTCCATATATTCAACTAGTTAATTCCAGGGTTTTCATCTTTGATGTGTTGCAAAGAAAATATATTGAACAATTTCTGAACTCCAAGTACATATTCAGTATATCATAAATATGACTGATGTTTAAGACACAGGGCTAAAAATGCTAGCTAGAGCCTCCAATAAAAATAGAATCTCACCCCTGTCCTGTAATCAGAGTGTCAGAAATATAAGGTCAGCGGTGTAGAAGACTGATGGAACCTGCTTTACCTAATGTAGATCCCAAGTTTGTAAAAGCAAATTCATAATACTAACTAATCTTGTAACCTAAAACAAGAATGACTTTACTTCTTAGATCTTAAAGACGTTGCATCTATATTCTTCAGTTATGAATAGACAAAGCCTTTTCGGTGGGATTTTCCTTGCAAATACCCTACAGAATATTTGCTGAAGTCTTTTTTATTTATTCAAAATTATGTTGAAATAGAACCGCTGGCATCAATTGTATGTGTAATCTTCTTCCCTCCCGTCTGTACTCCTAACCAAGAGTTTATTTTTCTCTTCTATTACGTTTTAGAATAAAAAAGGGGAACAAAATGAACTAGAGGAAAAGAAACCAAAGAACCCCCCCCCCAAAAAAGATGAAAAGATGAAAAACACAAACAAGAGCAGCACTATGTAACCTTTATTATGTTGACAGGCACCCACAAACATGATCCCTTTTGACTTTCTAAAGCGATGAAAAGCTAAAGCATCAGCAACAGCAGCGACCACAGAGCGGTCCACAGCACAGACTTTCCCCGCATGTGACAGCACAACATTAACACAATTCAAAGAGCGTTTGTCAGGCTCCAAAGCAGAGTGGACACTAAATCTGTTTTACCACTTAAACTTTCACGTGTGTCTCCTTTTGTTATTCATTTTAAAAGTTTGTCCCAATAACAGTTTACCATTGAGCTAATTATGAAGTTTGACATGTCAAAACAATTTATCTGTTAGCCACCTTGAGCTTGAGGCACTAAAATATGCCTCAGGTGAAGTTCACACGTGTACACACACAAATTTGGGTCTTTTGCAGACATTGAAGGAGACAATGCAATGTCATATTGCAGAGAAGAAAAAACTAATGCGGATGTAACAAATGCATATGCAAGAATTTGTGCATATAGACGAAACGTGTGAATGACGTTCATATGTATTCCATACATGGAATTAGGAAAAGACTGAGTCAAAGGTAAATATACTTTGTTGTTAATTAAAGTGTAGGGTAACTTTTTGTCGTTCAATTGTTTGTGTAATTGCACTGTTCTTTTTAGACTGCAAAAGCAGTCTTCTCCCGGTCATTCCATTCATATCAATATGTACATGTAAGTTCCTCTGCATAATCTGGAGCGGGCAAATTCCAATAAATGAATTATATTCTTCAGTTGAAATCCCTCCTCAACAGCAAGGGGCAACAAGATCTCCAAACACAAGTGAAATACTTACGGAGTATACAGATGTATTAAAAGTGAAGATATTATTACCTAATTAAGTGCAAATTAGTTTATTACGTTTATGTTGTGCATTTATTTACTTGTTTCCAGTTAGGTGTTGTTTTTGACAAATAAGACTCATTTACCTTTGTACAAAATCGTTTGTCTACCAACAGTGTCACCAACATAAAGTGGATTACAGGTATCATAATTTGAATTTGCATTTAATATTGAGATGATATTATTCTTTACTTACTATTGTTGAGCATAATCAAGTGTACTTTTGTGACAGTACGTATTGTTCAGATGCACTTCATCTGTTAAAATGTCCTTTAGGTTATCCAACTTCAGGTCATGTCAAACATAAACATGTTCTGCATTTTAAATAAACTCTCTGGTCACTTATTCACAGTCATTGGCAGGACTGGAGGGGAGAGAATATAAACACTCTGCCAACTTTTAACCAACTGTACCTCTATGGATTTTGTAAAAAAAGAGCAGGTTAGAAATCCATTCCGCTCTGTTAAGTTAAAAGATTAACTGTAACAAATGCATTCCAATACAGCAAACTTTACCAAGTGGGTGATTTTCAGGAATCAGCAAAGAAATGTGCCCTCTTCATCAGACATTAGACTTCCACATTTAACATTTTGTTCATTCCAGTTCACTAACAAAAAAAAGCTGTGTAACATTCATTGTCTTTTAGCCTTGAATTTACAATATATGGCACTAGTCACCAAGAATCCAACTCACCTGCTGGTCTGATAGTGTGAATGGTTAAAATCTTTGTATTAACATCCACCAATGAAACAGTTCCCATAGTACTTTCATCATGGCTCACCATGGACACCGTCCATCTTATGCTAAGTGAGGTTATTGTCCTCGGTTTCAATCTTAGCTGTGTCTATGTGTTTCTGAGACTGTTGGGAGACCCTGAATTCATTCACGAAGGCGAGTCTTTTGTCCAAAGGCACACGCGTAAACTGCAGTTTTCTGCACTGAGGTCCTCTGCAGTGAAGCAGCTCTCCATAGGCCTGACGGAAGTCCCTGTTGAAGGCTGGGTACAAAATGGGGTTAAGAGTCGAGTTGAAATAACCCAACCACAGGACGATGGAATGAAATATATTAGGGGGATTTGCCTTTTCTTTAATGCCCTTGCATGTGAAAAAGGTGAAGTAGGGGAACCAACAGATGACAAAAGCCCCCAACACAGCTGCTAGCGTCACTGTGGCTTTGTGCTCTCTCGCTATGGTTGCAGTTGCTGAGCGGACGAATGCTGGAGTAGTGGCGCGAATACGCCGTACCTGAAAAGGTGGACAGAGATAGAGAAAACAGAAATTTATTGATGGACTGAGCCGGCTCACTGGCTCAACAAAAACTAATATGAATCGAATGCAGTCGCCAGTCCATTACAGAAGTACACAGAGACAAACAACCACGTACACTCACATTCACTCCTGTGGGTAATTGCTTCTGCAAGCTGTTGTTGGAGAGAGTATGCAAACTCCACAAAATAAAGGCGTACAACTGCTCACTCTCACTGCTCTATCCTTGTATATTTTTTAAATCAATTTTATTAATTTAAAATCAAATAAATGAGTTGCATCAATAAGGAACCTGTGGAACTGAATGACCTCCTTTCTCAAATAAAGGGTGTTCCAGTGTGTACTATGCTGATAAAGATCTTAAATGAAGCACTGGAGCGAGTGAAGCATTTGTTTCTACTAACATTTGAATAATATATGATAGAAATGCTGCTTTTGCTGCATTTTATGCCCTTTTCATGAAAAATGACCAAATTAAAATAGTAAAAGAGCCCGAGGTGCATCAAAAGCCATCTTTTCCTACCACTGTTCTCAAAGAAAACTGAAAACTTCTGTTAGTTGTTTACAGCTGAAAACTACAACCTGTTTGCCCTAACAGTCACCTTTTTTAATATAATCCGCTAACGCGTGTTAGAGTGCTTTGTAACTGAATGAATGTATTTCAGAAGTAAAAAGCTCTTGTCACATGTGGGTGTTTAACTTAAGTCATGAATGACAACTAAATCCCCCTCCAACCTGGTGAGAGGGTTTTGCAGGGGAAACACTTGAGAAGGGCACATAGTCCAATGTGGACATGTGCTTCTGAGTGGTATTTGCCCAGTACCATTCAAAGGGCTGTTTTACTCATGTTTAGGGATTTGAAAGAGAAACCTATATATGACATATCAACGAGTAAGGATGAGCTCTGTAGTTGAACAAACGTGTTCAACATTATTCTGTGTTTCTAGCAAAGCATTTCTGTTAAAGAGTGTAGTGTAGCAATCATTTAGGTGGGCTCTGTATGAAGCCCCCTTTGATTTGGTATTAAATCTAACAGGAAATACTGACCTGTTCTCGTGCCACTTTGAAAATGCAAAGATACATCCCACACATGAGCAACAGGGGCAAGTAGAACGAGACAAAGGCGTATATTAGAACATAGTTGTTATTCCATTCAAAATGACAGTAGCGTCCCTCCTTGTCTTCGTCTCCCATCCCCCAGTCGGAGTGCTGTATGTTGTAGTCTGCTGTGTTCCAGCCCAGGTTGATAGGCACAAAGGCCACTGCAGAAGACAACACCCAGATGGAGATGATGGCCAGGGTCACTCTTTGACGGGTAACTCTCCGCGAGTGGCTGAGGGGAGACGAAATGGCCAGGTATCGGTTCACACTGATTGCGAGGAGGGTCAGAAT